TTTTCTTCCCCTCTGAGGTGCAGTTTGAAGCTTGTATACTATGCATGGAGAGGTGGAGGGGAAGAGTTCCACTGGAGCTGTGTACAACCTTTGTTGCAAGAATTTGGCTCCACTAACTCTTGAAATTTTGTTACATGTCGCCAGCCAAAATCTCTTCATCTAATTTGGGTGCAGCTTTTTCCCACTGCAGGTACTCTCTCAATTAATACTGTCCTTCTAGTTCAGCTTAGAGCTCTGGAACCTATATAGTTCATCAAAGAGTGTCATCCTCAGTTATTTATTTCCCAAGTTTTACTCATCTCTCTCTAGCAAACTTTTCTAGTTTCTCCACAGTCAAGAAAAGAGGAAATATAAATATATTCCTCTTTCATTCCAAATGTGTGGGTATTTGTGGGGTTTGGGCAATTCACCAGTCCCACTATTGCTAAGCATGAGATTGGGGGTTGTGCAGAGGGAGGGTTGCAGGCTGTGTTGGAATCTTATGTTTCTTTCCTTAGTTGTCTGTTTTTGAAGTTTATGCCATGAGGCTATGTACTTCTTTCCTTCTCTGGATGGTGCTGGTAAAGTTTTTGCTGGTTTTCTTTGTTTTTTTTTAAGGAAGGCTATCATCTAGTTTCTTTACTCAGAAATCCCTCAATTTATTCTTTCTCCAATTTACTTCTTAATCCCTTCCCTTCCTAACACCCAACCTGTCCAGCATTTAGGTATTATCATCTTTCCAGACCCCACTAAAACTGTTCCCTTAGGCTTAACAATGACTTCTTCCTGACCATTTCATTTCTTCTCAGTTCTTACCCTGCCAACCCTGTCCTTGCTTCAACATTTCCATTATTCATTTTGCCTCTCCTACCTCTCTCCCCCATAACCGTGGTAATTATTCATAAAACATCTGACAGAAATTGCTAATCCTGTGTAATTATCAAGCCAATGTCAGTTTATCCAGTAGAATCTACATGCACCTGCTTTGTATTGAATACTTACACCAAGACTAAAAAATAATTACCAAATTAGCCATGTGCCAAAAATCAGTGTAGTTTTTTTTTTCAATCATAATGCTTAATTTAGTGTTGGTAGGTGTTAATAAAAATAAGCTGTCTGGGACTGACCCGATTAGCGTATAGATTATTAGGAGAGTAGGAAATGAAAAAAACATCCTCACAGAATGTGGTTTTTGACTGGAGTGTGGGCTTCCAACAATTTCTAAGGATCCAGATAAAATTTCATCCCAGCCTACTATCAAAACAGCAGGATTTTTGTTTGTTCGTTTTGGTTTTTACCTTTGGATTTTTTTTTTTTTTTTTTTTTTATTTGGTTTTTCCTTAGCTAGCATCTGTTGATAGTTGTATGTCGTAGCTGCAAATAATTCTAGTTTAGCAACTTAAAAGTTTAACC